CCGCCAACTAAACACTAAGCCCATTGTCCCATTGGCGCTGGGCACTTGCATATAGCAATCCGGCATGGCACATGACTCTGTCAACGCCACGGGGGCAATGCCACTCGGGACGCAACAATCACTTACCAAGCCTCTCTAGGTATAAGCTCAACACCCTGCCACCAGAGTTGGTCCAGCACACTTATCTGTGGGACCACTAATCTATAGCCTTAATGGCTAGGAAGGTTCTAGTTACTCATAAGCTTAACACCCACGTATAGGTAGACATACCAGCCTGTCAGGGTGGTGTCCAACCCAACACGTTACTAACTTATGTCAGCCATGTCACAGCATATCTTATCACCATATCTCATGCTGCTGCCACTAGCAATAACTAATCTTCTGACTCACTCAACCTTTCTTTAACGCATGTGGTAACCTACTCATAGCTTGACTAGCTCTTGCCACTGCAAAATAATCACATGCCTAGAAAGTTATGTTATGCAAATGTTACGCAAATGCCTGAACAAAGTAAAGCTATACTGTTTCTACCCTTATATATAAAAAATGTGCTTGATCTTCCTTGTACCCCTATGTTCAACTGTTTGTATTGTGCTAGAGGAATGCCTTTGGGGTACCTCACATGCAACTGTTATATGCCTACGCACTACAAAAATAAAGAATTTAAAAAAATAAAATAAAAAAAAAACTTATTCCAATTTTGAATCATAACTTTTGATAATATAAATTTTTTCCTGCTTTTGTTTTTCTCTTTACTCTCGTCTACCAAGACGGTTTTCCAGAACAGGGATCTAAGATTATAACCATTCGAAAGAAACTGTTCAATTTTATACCAATTTTTTTTATTAGAGATTTCCATTTGGGTTGGATCACATGAGAAATTCTACTGGCCATGTACACTTGTTCAATATTTGGCATCCCTCCCTGTGTTGGTTTTAACATCATACTTTTAATATTTAATCTTGGCAGTTTACCTTGCCAAACAAACTTCCTAAATCCAGGCTGTATAATTTTTAACCAGCTTATTGGTATGTTAAGGGTGATTAATCTAAAAAGGTAGATCCATCTAGGCAAGATATAAACTTTCAATATATTTACCCTACCCCACCAAAAGATTGTATTATTTTTCCATTCCATCAGATATTTTTTGTTTTAAAAGGGGTAAAAATTTTTGTTAAATAAGTTTTGAAACGTCTGAATACCAAGATGGTTTAAAGAATTTGTGGCCTACTTGAAGCCATATTGTCTGTCAAAATATTTTTTTTCATCCTCTGGTATATATTTCTCAAGAGCAGCTGATATTTCATGATTCAGTTGATATCCCGAAATTTAACTTGGAGTGTGTCTGATGAAATTTAAAACCTTTAATGTCTTTATTTTCCCTTATAGCTATTGCAAGTGGCTCTATAGTCATTATATACAACAATGGGGACAATGGTCAGTCCTGTCTAGTACCATTTTCCAGTGGAAACCACCCAGAGCTGAACCCATTGTCCACAACGCTTGCTGTCGGAGTCAAATATAGTGCCATAATAGCATCTAAAATAAGTCCATCAAGTCCAAAAGATTTTAGTGAGATTTGTAGATAGCTCCATCTGACCCTGTCAAATGCTTTTTCAATATCTAGTGACAGGGCCAGAAATTGAGTCCTTTGTCCCTGAGCTACATCCATTATAAATATCAAGCGCCGGATATTATGGGTTGAGGATCTACCTTATACAAATCCCACTAGATCTGGATGTATACTATGATTAATAATAGTATTTAACCTGGTCACCAAAATAGCAGAATGTAGTTTAATATCAACATTTTGTAACGCTATTGCCCTTTAATTTCGAACTTCTAGATTATTATTTTTCATGTTTTAAAATAGGAACTATATTAGATTGCAACATCTCCATTGGAATGGGATGTTTTCTACAAAAACAATTAAAGAACTTAAAAAGTTGTATTTTAATACTGTCCTTTAATATTTTATAATATGTATTCGACCATCCGTCAGAACCAGGTGATTATTTATTTGTAGTTTTCCTATTACTTTGTCAATCTCCTCTATCCTGATAAGTGTATTTAATTAACTCAATTGCTCCTGATAAATACGTGGTAGTTTATATTTTCATAAAAACTCTTCAATATCTTTTGTAGTAGATGTTATTGGGAGGTTATAGAGAGTTTTGTAATATTCCTCGAATACCTGTCCTATTTTTTCTGGTACCATAACTATTTGATCTTTATGTTGAATCTTTGAGATAAAGTTATTTGATTTTTCTTCCTTAATTTGATTAGTTAATAGTTTCTATTTCCCTTATAATACAATTTTCTTTTAATAAAGAACAACATATCATTCACACTGTTGATCAGTGCATCATTGATTGCCTTTTCTATTTCTATTATTCTTTTCGTGTTTCCTCCGGAAGGAGCAGTTTTATTTTGTGAGGATAAGTTATCCAACCTTATATATAATTCTGCTAATCCTGGAGAACGTTTTTTTTTCTTTTCGTATGCACCGATCTTAATTAAGCGAACCCGAACGGTACTTTTATATGCACACCATACTATGGGTAAGGGCACTTCATCATTGTTATTCTCCTTAAAGAAGAAATCAATAGTTTGCTTAAAGTATTCAACATGTTGAGATTTATTTATAGTCGTTTAGCTTCCAATAACTACGTTTTTTAAATCAAATTCATCGTTAATTTGTAGTAAGATGGCACTATGATCTGACCAAGGGACAGATATGATTTTTTTTTCTTACTTTTCTCGTTTGAACTATATTAAAAAATATATAATTAATTCTAGAGTAGGTTAGGAATGATTTGGAAAAGCGTGTATAGTTTTAGGATGAAATATTCTCTAATAAAGCAGATCTTTTACCAATTCTCTCATTCTTCTAGCATTGTTCCCAATATTGCTGTTATTAATGTTTCCTCCATTAGATCGTCTATCAATTGTAGGCTCCATAACACAGTTAAAATGCCACATTAAGGGTAAGATTTCCCCTTGTTTAATCCTTTCCACTCTACTTAAAACTTTATTTATAATCTTAATAGGAGAGTGGATAGAAGCATAAACATTGGCAAGAGTATATATTTTGTTATTTATCTCGCATACTAGTATCAAATATATGCCTTGATTATTACTGTCCTGATCTAGTACCTTTACTGAGATTTTATTTGAGAAGATGATGGCAACTCCCCTCTTTTTCTTATCTATTAATAATGAAGTATATAAATGCGGATACTGATTTGACCTAATTCTCATTACATCCCCTTCTTTCAAATGGGTTTTTGTTTTGCATATATGTGAATTTGTTCCTGTCTCAGAAATTCCAACAAAATACCTATTTTTTGGTGTGAGTTGATACCATGAGCATTTATTGTGACTATTTTAATATTAAAATCTGGTTAATTATTTTCGCCTTTAAGCCAATGGCAAGTCCCATATCCACAGCAATCCCTCCCTCACCATTAGTTCACGAAACAAAACAACAAAAAAAACAATTAAAAGAAAAAAAAACTAAACTAAAAAATACCCTCCTCGGGGAGTAAAAATACCCCCTCAGTAAAATTCAGTGTGTTGGCAGAAGGAGAGAAGCAAAAGCCCTTCCCATGCGTCCATACTCCAAATTAAATTGGTCCGCAACATTGCACTGTACTACTACATTAATACTTCAAAAGTGCTTTCTTAATTTACATCTCCACATAAAAAGAGAGGCAGGAAAAAAAAAAGTCTCCTTGGACCTACTTTATCTTTTATCATCCATTCTAAGCTATTATGTGTTGTATATTTTGTGTAGTTCGTGCGGTTCATTCTCTGTGGGTGCCATTGTGTCTGTGTTGTCGGTGATGGGTGTCAGGGCTATGTGGTTCTGCGTCTTGTAGTGTGTCTTGTAATATGTCTGAGGGACTGAGTGTCATGGATTGCCTTCCAGTTCGTCCTAGTGTGGGGCTGTGTCTCTCGCTGGCTATGTGAGTCTTGTGTGGTCTGTAAGGCATGTAGCCTGGAATGGGGTTAGGCAAGTAGTGGATCAGTCCTTGTTATAGAGCTGCTCTGCCTGCAGGCTCTCCGTCGACCTTTATTGGCACGCTCAGAGTCAGGCCCCAGTATTTTTTGGTTCTTTGCCCGGTAAGTTCATGGTCTTCCAGAATGCCGTGGGGTCTTCCCCAGCCGATAGGGTAAGTGTCTCGTTTCCCCTTTGGATGTTCAGTGTTCCATCTTCTTCCCAGCGGACCTCTGCCTCTCTCAGTTTCTTGGCTACTGGTGCCAGTTGTCTCGTCGCCACTAGCGCCTCGAAGGGAAGGTCCCCGTAGATCGTCACACAGCAGCCCTCGAGCTGGAACATATTGATCTCTCTGGATTTGTTGAGGATAGCGGTTCTCACCGCAATATCTCTGGTGATGACTATTGTGTCTCTCGGTGCCACTTGAGGTGCCGCTGCCGCTTTCCGTTCTCTGAACGCCGAGACCACCATCCCCTTGGTATCTTTACTCTTGAGACCCATCCAGGCCACCAGTCTCTGGGTGAAGGGTAGCAGGGCTTCTTTCACTCACTGTTTCCGGGATTCCCCGCATGCGGACATTCTTGCGCCTGTGGCGGGATTCCAGTCCGGTCACCGACTGGGTGAGTTTCTGCACCTTTGTGGCCAGGTCCTCTATTTGGTTGTGGGTGTCCTGCATCTGGTGTTTCCGAGACTGCTCTTCATTTTCTATTTTGGAGATCCTCTTGCAGAGGTCTCCTATGTCTGCTTGGGCCTCTTTCAAGTCCGATTTCCAGACTTGCCTTATGTCTTGGAGGAGGTTTTTAATGTCTCCTTTAGTCACTGGGGAGGAGTCCTCGTCGGAGTCCGTTTCTGGGTAGTCTTCTCCTGGTTCAGATGAGGTGGATATGTCTCCCTCCTCCTGGGATGCTTCTGAGGCCTCCTCTTCAGCCCGAGCAGCGGGCGCTATTTTGGCGGGAGCCGCGGTTGCGGCTGCAGGTCTCTCAAAGGAGAGCCTTATGGGGGGCGGGGCTTGCTACCCGACATGAACGGAAGCCATTTTCCACAGCTCCCAAATCCTGCGGACAAAATCCATTAAAATCAGTCTTTCTCTGACCCATCCAACCTCGCCACACGCACTATCGGCATCAGCACAACGGGCCACATCTCCCGATGCCTTTTTTCCAACCGCAGCGGCAGCAGAAACGGAGACGCAAAATCGGGGCCTACTATACCCCAACGAGCCTGGGCCTCGAGGACCTGTTGAGTGGATACCCGGCCGAGCACACAGACACCTCCTGCGCCCCGGACCCATCCACAGCTCTGACTCATATGCCGGCAATGGGATGCCGATCACAAAGGCCACAAGGTACGGCTGGGGGCAGGGATATTGGGACTATGCTCCAAAAGCCTACCCAGCCCAAACCCAAACCAGCGGCAGAAACGCTGGAGGCTACCCTGGCACCTACCACACCCCAACAACGGCAAGAACCACCGGGGCCCCCACAGACCCCCAAAATAGGATTACAGGGGCCAGAACTTACTGGGCAGCAAAATCAGCAGCCGCACACCCGGGCACCACAAGGCCCGGACTCCCAGGGACCCCCATGGGCAAAACAGCCTGAAAGGGTACACAACCCACTACAAACCAGACCTGACATACAAGGGCACTTACAAGTACCACTACAGCCACTGCTGGAGTCCCCGGATGACTCTGCACCAACCACCAAACGTGACTTAAAGCTCCTTCTAGCAGACATCCATAAGCTCCTAGCAGCTGACTCAGCCCTTTTGAGGACCAAACTGCGCACGGTCACAGAAAAGGTGAACACCACGGAGGCAGAAGTAGTGACGGTACATGCTCACATAAACACGATGGAAGACTCCATCAAACAAATCCAGCAACAACAAACGTACCTGTCACTCAAAATGTCAACCATGGAAGATCGACAACGCCGCTCACACATAAAAATCAGGGGCATCCCTGCAGAGATATCGGCCGAAGAGCTGCCGCATTACACCAGACGTCTACTAGCTACAGTACTCCCACACACAGCAGTAAAGAAAATGATCATAGATGGGGTATACCGCTTGCCTACCCCTCCCCACCTAAAGACCCCAACGGCCAGAGACGTCATCCTCAGATGTGTCACAGTACAAGACAAACTACATATAATGGCCGGGCTGAAAGGCAAGACACCGCTGCTGTTTGAGAACTCTTCCCTGACGTTCTTCCAGGACATATCAAAAGCCACCCTCGTGTGGCGCAAATCGTATGGACCACTCACCACACAACTCCGAGCAGCGGGAATTGCATACAAGTGGGGCACTAACGGGACTCTGGAAGTAACCCAAGAAGGCACTACCCATGTCCTAACCTCCGTGGAAGAAGCACCTATTCTCCTAACCGCTTTGAAACTACCCAACCCGATGCTTCCACCACGAAAAAGCCCGCAAATGGAAGTACAGGACCCCAGGAACAACGCCCAGTCGGAACCGAGACCCAGCGGATCACAACACCCTGTACCATGACTGAAGTGGACTGACACCGCAGGCTTTGCCACCGGGACTGGTGCACACATATTTTGATTTCACTCCGTGACTTTATTTACGTTTTATATTATTTACTATTTAGCCTCCGCTAACAATTTCCAAACACCACAGGCCATTGCTGCACTCACCCTCTCTACGCCAATGAGAGCCAACATATCACACATCCAACCACAGGGCGCCTGACAAATCACCCCCCCCCCCGCAATCCCCTTGGTTAGGGGTAATCAACCCAAAACACGCTACCCACGACAAACAGCTCACCTCCACTAACGCATGCAGACACCTATACTCAGCACAACACAGCGAGTCTGACCATGAAACATGGAACTGACGCAACCTTGCTACTACACGACTCGAACACCTACTCAATCCTCACATAGGGTCCCATCACCACCAGACCTACTCTAGACGGGAGCTACTGATTTATAGCAAAGTACTATCCCAACACAAGAACGCACAAAACATCATAACACCTAAGTAATGAATACTGTTTTGTTTTAACATGTTACTGTTTAAAAATTTCTTGCTATTGCTCGACCCAAAATGGTGCAAACCACGAACGGTACCGAACCTCAACTTTTTTACAGTCTGTACAATCTAAATATTGCACCAAAAGTGAAAAATAAAGAATAAAAAAAAAAAAAAGGAGAGCCTTATGTCCGGCATTCTCGGGGTTGCTGGTTTTTCCTATTTTTGCGCCCCATGGTAGTCTCTGTCGGAGGGTGAGTAGGGATGTCAACTGTGGGGCTCCTATATTTCGGGTATACAGCTATATTTAGCTCACTGTCTCGGAGCTCCAGAGGTTTGCGTCCGCTCTGGTGCTCGTCTAGCCACGCCCCAACATTTCTTTATTTTGAAAGAGTAGGGATTCCATTTTTTCTTCTGTTTTTTTCAAGTGAGTTTGTCATTTTTCCTAGCTCTTTTTTTTTACGTCTTCTGATAATGTTGTTATTTGTGACTTGATCTTTTCATATTAGTTATCCAGGCACATATTAAGGTATTCTGTTGTAATGCCACCTGCCATCATTACTTGACCATCTGCTTCCAGTTCTTCTTAGGAGAGTTCTGTTTAAATATTAGTCTATCTTTCCTGGGCCTTACTTGATTTATCCTTCTTATCTGGCTGGGGTGAAAAAAAAGATGATAGCCTTTTCTCTTCTTTCGCGTCATTATTTTTATCTCGTTTTGCAGGGTTCTTAGTCTCATTTCTTTTAGATGCCATTGTAATTTATACGGTCTCCTAATCAACAACAAAAAAACCTTCTCCTTTGTGTTGTCTGTTGTGTGTTATATTTTCTTTTCCTCTTTTCTCTGTTCCAGTTAATTCACTATTTACATTGAGCGGTTATGAAGTTGTTATTTATATATCCAAATAGCTCTGTGGCTCTCAATATGCAGTTTAATATGCAGTATTGTATGCAGTCTTGAGTTTATCTATGATTCTCTGGTTCCTTCTTTTCCTTCTCTTTTTCTTTTCTCCTTTTTTCCTTCTCTCCTTTTTTTTATTTCTTTCATTCAGGGTGGGATGTAATTATCCACTGCAGGGGATTATCTTCTTATTGAGTTTCCCCTTCTTCTTTTCCTTTTTTCTTCCTTCTTCTAAAATTATATCAATATTAGACAGGTTTCCCACCTTGAGTATGTCGTTATCTTTCTCTGTTGTATATCTTATTTATGAGTTAACCAATTTATATAGATTTTTTTTCTTGATTTTTTTTGTCGGTGTACTTAATTCAGGTTTCATTACCCTCTCCCAACTCTTCTTTCGTTCTCCTTTTACTTTTCTTTCCTCTCTCTTTTTTCTTTTTTTTTTTTTAAGCTTGACTCACTAGTGTTTTGCAGATTGTCAGCTATGTAATTTACATTCCACTTAAATTCAGCTATTTAAATGTTAACTCAGGCATATTGGCATATAGACATAGGAAGAAGTATATAGAGTATATATAAACTTGTTTTATTAAGTGTACCTTACTCCAGTTGCTCCTGGTGTACTCGTGGGCTTTGGATTATATGCTCACTCTGACTCCATGGTTCGTTAGGTGTTTACTGATCCCCACCACTCGGTGTTATATCGTTGTTAATAATCTTGGGAAGTACTTTGATGTCTCTGTGGTGATTTTTACCGCTCTTCCCTGTCCCTTCCCTGAATATTTTGGAGCTCAGCGTCTAGTTGTCTGGGTGTCTGTGGCACCTTGCTCTCCTCCACCAGACCTTGCTTTCTTCCGCTGCACCTAACTCTCCTATTGAACGCCGACCATGGAAGCAAGCAAGCAAAGTGTGGTGTGCGTGCGTCACGTCATCGCTGCTCCCAATCGCCTATTTTAGTTTGTAATTTACTGATCACCGAGCTGTAGCCATTTCTTTTCTACTGAATCCACATTTGCCATTAAAGGACCACGATAGGCACCCAGACCACTTCAGTTTAATGAAGTGGTCTGGGTGCCAGGTCCAGCTAGGTTTAACACTTTTTACAGTAAACATAGCAGTTTCACAGAAGCAGCCAGCGTCCATAGGAAAGCATTGATAATGCTTTCCTATGAGACTGGCTGAATGCGCGCGCGGCTCTTGCTGCGCATGCGCTTTCAGCCGATGATGGAAGAAGAGGGAGGAGAGTCCCAGCGCAGAGGTAAGGGATTAACCCCTTCCTCCCCTTTCAGCGCAATGGGAGTGGGACCCTGAGGGTGGGGGCACCCTCAGGGCACTATAGTGCCAGGAAAACGAGTATGTTTTCCTGGCACTTTTTCCTGGCAATATTGACAGCAGTTATACCAAGTTCATCATGCACAATGTCACTTTAGACTCTGTGCATGGTTGAAATTGTATTCTTGCAATAGGAAGACCTCTGTCAATAATGATAGTGAATCAAACTGTAGTGTGCCCATCTTTTTTAAAAAAGGTTTCGAAATTGTTAATGCAAAGATATTGGATGACTAGGACTTTGACAATGTTTGGCAAGCTTTCTCTGTGAGGTCATCATTGGGTTTTACTTCTTCAACAGTTAGTGGTCAACATTTTTGACAGCACTGCTCTGCACATTTCAAGCCATTTGGCTTCACTAATACCTGAGCTATGATGAAAGATTTGTTTGAATCATTTTTATGTACTTATACACTAGTCACTCCAACGTTTAGAGTAATACATTTCTCTCTTTTTACTTGACCTTTTTTATACTTTCCAGTGTAGACACGGGAGATCTGGTAATGTTTGCCCTTGGGACAGGTACCAACAAATTAAATGACTTTTTTTCTTTTCCCACTTTTTTTTGTGTGCAAATGAATAGATCTCCATGTGAATGATCCTACTCCTATATGAAGCATGCGATATATAGAGATTTTACAAATGGAGACCGCTGGAGTTTAAAGGTATTCTATTATATATATATATATATATATACCTGAAAGCTCCATCAGTATGATGTGGGCAGTACGAAGGAACATTCACAGGTATATGTGCATGACTAGAAGATGCAGAGTTTGTGAGTCCATTATCGCAAATTACAACTGATGTGTTATGCATATCACTATTTTATCTCACCTTGTGGTCACTGGCTGACACCTCCAGGAATATCACACATAGTGATTGTGGCCTGAGAGCCAGGTCAGCCACAGATAATATCCCAGTGGAGTACAGGCCTGAAAAGCTCCAGCTGAACAAACTCACACAGTAAAGCCAAATGCCCTGTACAATTCCTGCCTGCTACCTTACTCCTATAGAACTGTGCAAACAGACATCCACAAACACCTTCAACTTTTACAGAGAAACTGAAATTGCTTTATTACATTGAAGTGGTTAGCAAGAGGATCTGCCCAGCCTCATAACTAAAGAGCCTGGTTCATATGATGTGCGTCATGTCCCAGTCTCATCCAGCATGACCCAGAGCTTGAGGCTGGGCATACATAATAAGAGGGAGGGGAAAAGTGCAGAGTTATGCTGGCATGCCAAATTATGATTTCAAAGAACTCCCTAGCCAGACTGTGAATACCACCAGGTAGGACCAAAAGAGTCATGACCGAGAGACCAGGTTTTCAGTCCATCCTTAGCACTGTATGATACGTCAGTGTGTATAATGCCTCTTGGCCTAATGCTGTAGCCACCATTGCTCCCTTGAGGTACAAGCAGGTGAAGGGGCTCACAGCCGAGCAGGAAGATCTTTTGATCTTCCTGTCAACTCACGAAGGACACCCTCACAGCTAGAGTCAAGCTTTAGGCTCATACAGGGGCCCACCAGGCCACCTAATGGGTAATCCAGCTCTGCTGGAGAAGGTTGATTGGAGCATACTTGATACATTAACCTCAGATGATTTGAATAAGCCAGATGACAAATTCCTGTAACGCAGTGTTAGGTCTGTGTCAGGAGTATCAATTTGTTGTCTCCCTTATGTTGTAGGTTTTCACAATATTACAGAGGTTGTATTCCAAAAACACTTTAGAGCGGTCAGTGGTCAATGTTAACCTAAAATAACCAAAGATTTTTATTTGTGTGATTATTTTGGGCACTTGTATATAGGTGTAGTTTGTAGTTTTTCTAGAATGTAAGCTCATTGAGCAGGGCCCTCCACCTCTCTGTTCCTCTATGTCCTTTACTGCCAGTTGTCTGGTTACAATTACATGTCTGTTAGTCCACCCATTGTACAGCGCTATGGAATTTGATGGCACTATATAAATAATAAAAATAATATAGCACTTTTCTTTACTTAAGCAAGAATTGTAAGTAGGAGACAGATTTTGGTTATGTATCCTCTTTTAACAGGGTGCCGAGGTAACCTCCTTTCCCTTGATTTTCTGACAGGGATGTTATATCTGGTAGTATCTTTATTAGAGCTACCTAAGCAGTATGTTATCAGTAACTTGTATTTTAACAGATTTCCATCTACAGTGTAATACTGAGGAGCATTAGAGCTGTATGATATCCATACAATGCTAGTGGTAGTGCTACCCTCACTTCGTATAAGTGTTAGGGTCCAACTACAGTCAGGCTATCTTTTTATGCTCGACATTGTATGTACCACAATTCTGCACTTATAATGTCCTCATTTCAGTTATATAGAAGACTGGACCTTCTGTCTGATTGCCAGAAAATGTATACATTGTCTGAATAGACCCTTGCTGTGCTTAAAGTGGCTCCGTTGCCTCAAACTTTACTTTTTCTCTCCTATTCTCTCCACTTCTCTTCCTCTTTCAGAATCTGTTCAGAACCCATAATTTGTCTTATGTTTTAAAGAGAACTAGACTAGAAAGGAAGAAAAGAAGAACAGAAAGAGGAAGAGAAGATGAAACAATATCAGAAAGGCAAGTTTGAGGTGACGGAACTAGTTTAAATTGTTAGTAACTCCACTGTGACACAGTTATAATAAACCATAATAGTTCCCTGCAGGACCTTGAAATTTCTATTGATTTTTCTAGAGATACG